GGTATCACGTTCCGCTTGCCGTGAGCCTTGCCACTTGGGTCTCGGTCACCATTTTTGCTGCCAAGAGTGGAAGAAGGGTTCTTGCACTTGGTGACACACTGGCCCATATTGTGTTGCACACCCGGCCGTCAGAGCAGGCCCCTCGCCGTCACACCCCCACTCCGCTGCCGCTCAGTGGGCCTCAACATGCCATCAGGGACAGTCCATCAACCTACGGGAAAAGAGGTGGGAGAAGAAGCAAACAAACTATGAGAAGCTAATCAGCCATACAGAAACCACCAAACATTTCTGTCTGCATTTATACATGACAAACAATGTTGCTTTTAAATGACATATGTGCCACAGCAAGTGTTGCCTTCAAGAGGCATTTCCTCCTTTCTTAGAATTAATAAGGAACATTGCCATCTGCAGTTCTTTTACTCCCCATCTATATTAGAAACAGCCAATTTGGAAAGAAAATATACGCTCCTGACTAGGGATCTCTGTATACAAGAACTTCCTCAACCCGCTGCTTTCCAGTTGTGCTGGATTACAAACCTATCATCCCCAGCCAGCATGACAATGAGACATGTATGAGCCTGGACAATTCATATGGTGCCGGGTTGGGGAAGATGAGCTTATTGTGAACCAAAGGTTTGAACCAGTGAATATGACCACAGCAACTGACTATACATGGCAGGCCTACTTCCAAGCATTCTAAGTTGCTTCACACACATTACCCAATTGCAACGGAATTCAAAAACTTTGTAAGGTAGGTCACCATGAAGGTTACCTCCATATAGCAGATGCAGGTGGGCAGGGGGACTGAGGTAGAGAAAAAGTGGCTTAACTTAGTCAAGTTCCCCTAGCCAACATTCTGCTGAACCTCTTAAGCCCTAATGTTGCACCATCTCCCCTTTAATTTCAACACATTCAAGGAACGCCACGAACCAGCCTGCTTCTCCCAACAGCCTCAGCAGGATCTCATACAATGGATGTCCTAGGAATGAGCAAGTTCTTCACAGCATGTGGGGCAAACCGGACACATTTCGCATGGCTGTACTGCAGAGCCAGCAATGAATTGAAGACTCCTTTGCTGTCAGAGACTGAGTTCTGTAGCTGTCCAAGAGCTGTACCTTAGTATTGCATGGAAGGAACACAGGAAGCCGCCTTGCACTGGATTAGGTGACCTAGCCCAGTACAGTCTATTCTAACTGGCGGTGGCTCTCCAGTGTCTCCAACAAGAGGTCTTCCCCATCAATGGGAGCCTGATCTAGTTATCTACAGAAACCAGGGATTGAATCTGGATCTGGGATAGGCAGGTCCTGGAGGCTTGGTTTTTACCAACAGTACTTACCATGGGCCGTGCCAGCCCCAGAAAAGGCCACAAAAACAGAAACAAAACTAGAAGAACCTAAAAGGCCACATCTGGTCTTGCACTTTGGGTTGAGCACCCTATAACACAAACTACCACTCTTGGAGGAGGACTACAGAAGTGAAAAAATATACTCTTGTCCCTGAGAAATTTTAACACAAAGAAAAATGGACCTAGGAGGCTGCGTGCAATACAGAAGCTGCATTTAGCTGGCCTATCTTTATGTAATGGAGTTGTTCTACCACTGCTAACGGTAGAAAACCACTGTAGTGTTTTCTTACAGTGTCAACAGCTTTCCCAAAGGGTACAAATTGCTTCCAGAATTCTGGAATAACTTACTGGATCATTACGCTGCTTAGGCAGCAACTTTAAATATACCGCTGCTATAAGCAACGGAACTTGCAAATATTAGTGTTAGCACTATAGCAAAACTGCTAAGGAAAGTCTGTTCCAATTTATGGTGATCCTACGAATTAGCTAGCTCCAGAAAATCTTATTGTCAATTGTCTTGCTCAGCTTTTGCAAACTCAAGGTCATGGCTCCCTTTATTGAGTCAATCTACCTCTTCTCTACTCCTATTGTCTTCAACTTTTCCCAGCATTATTGTCTTTTCCTGTAAATTTTGCCTAGATCAGTGGTTCCCAACTTTGGGTAACCCAGGTGTTCTTGGACTGCAATTCCTAGCAGCTTTCATCACCAGCTGTGCTGACTG